GTGGCAGCATCGAAATTCTCGCGAAACGAGAACATTTTCCACATTGCAATGTCCACATTTGCACCTACAAAAGACAATCCAAGTCAATTGAAAACAAGACACTCGAGTAAGTTTATAGTTTTGATACAGCTGCATGCATAGCAAAGTATGGTGCGACAATCTGCATTGACAGCTGATAACCTGTCTCGCGATTATTTACAATCAAAATCTAAGTTACAACCGATAACATACAATTAAATATTACTAATCTTGCGTGAAAATAAATTGTGATTCAGAAAGTTTAAAGTTTTATTAAACTAAGAAAGGCAAGAAAACGTTAGGTGTGATCTTTGCGTCTTCGAATGCAGACGACGCAACGATGAATGAATGAATGAATCGAACTTGATTTTCAAATTATAAAAAGCAATGTTTACATGCATACTAACATTAAACCAAAACGTGACTATAAAACCTACCAATTGCTTACTGGATCTCTGTTCTCAACTCTGGCTTCTAACGTAGCATAAGGAATCCCATCTTCGTCGTGTTCATCGTTTTCGTCATTTTCGTACTCATCTTGGGACGCCAGAGGTTCGTGTTGGTACGGTTGAAATATATTATCAACAAAGTTTTCGGCTTCACTTTCCACCTCCGATTCCCCACTGGCTCGTGATGAAGCAGAATCATCAGTATCAGACATTGCAAGCGTTGGAACCGGATCAAACCAAACAGCAACAAACCCAACTTGCTAGTGTTTTCAAGTATTTTCACATATGTCACTTGTGCCCTGGTCGCGTTTGTCAACCCCTTGACGTCACTCGACCCAGTCCCTTGTCACACAATTTTAGCCATATTACCGGATTTCAAAGCGCAAAAAAAATATGTTCCCGTGGTCAAATTCCTTTCAAACTGCACAAACTTACTAAGGAAGTGCTAAAGATTGATTAGAGAATTTAAAAAAAGATGCTTCACTTTCACTTCATAAGCACTTTAATGCYATTGGTAATCTGATCGTTGACAAACTCGAGTGTTCATGATTATAGACTAGAATGACAGAACTGTAAAATACAGTTCAGTACAGCTGCAGACTGCATCAATGAAACTATACTGTATCATTTCCCACTATCTATGTTATTTATAATGCTTATAGCTTATCTATCTCTCTCTTGTTTTTATTTTAGTTGAAGATAAAAAACAGCTTTTTCTTAGAACCACCTCCACAAGTTCAACACCAGAGTTTCACAACAATGAACCTGTCAAGGCCTCTACTCAAGGTAATTCGTCAGAATGATTCATTCTTTTATGGCTTGAGCATATGATACAATTGTTACATGCATTGTTGTTGGGGGTGATATAGTTTTTAACTGATGTGGGAAAACTCAAGAAAATCATGTCCTACAAAAAACCCATTTACAGTCAACTCTCATCTTTCAGACACCTTGCTATTGTGGATAGGAGCAAAATACCTGGCACGAAATAATGACTCTCACTATTGTGGATGCTCCTTATTATATTAATAGACACTTAATACTMTTCCTGGTAGACAGAGGCAGTTGGGATTTTTAATCGCCTTAGTAGCATCTGTTACAGTATGTTAACTGCAAGTATATTTCAAATCAACAAAGGCGATAAAAAATCACAACTGTCTTAGTCTACTTGGAAGAGTACAATGTACAGTAGTAGTGGCATATGGTCCCAATTGTGCCTGCTGTAATGAAAGTTGACTGTATACCCAATGCTGGCCAAAAGTGCAGTCATGGAAATGTTGCATTTTCATTGCCTGAAAACATCAATAATGTAATGCTGCAGAGGTTCACTTAAAGATTCTCTTTAGACTTCACATACATGTAGAGTAGTAGTCACATGCAACATTGGCAGAGACTGTGCATGGGTATACGTACCTGGTTCTTTGTTTATTTATTATTTATTTATTTATTAAACTTTCACTGAGTAAACTGAATAACAATAATCGAAAAAACAACAACAACAAAAAAAGAAAAACTAATTAATAAATAGCAATAATGATAAACAAAAAAATCTCAGCRAGGGACAAACACAACAGAGCAAGCTCCAACAAGATGAAAGCCCATGCCACATGCATACCAGCTACCGCTTAAAAAAGGGCAGCCACACACAGGTCATGATCATTGGCTAACTTTGGTTTAGTTTATCCATACACCATTTCCGGCTTAACATCACTGGTCAAAATGACCAGCAAGGTAAAGATTTGACTGGACAAGTTCCAGTTCTGGCTCGACATTGTCTGGTGGCTGCTGACATTTTAGCCCTTCATACCAAAATATACACATTCTGTCTGATCCACTTTTAACTGGTTGTTTGTCTGTAGGCTGTTACTGAGCTTGGTTTTCTCCACCCAACACCAATTCAAGCATCTACTATCCCTATGGCTTTGATGGGTAAAGATTTGTGTGCCTGTGCTGCTACAGGAACAGGTACGTGTAATACAGTGGAACCCCGTTAATAGGGACACTGTTGGGACTGACAAAACTGTCCTTATTAACAGGGAGTCCCTATTAACCGAGGTGTCAGAAAAACAGCTGAAAACACATTTTTAAACCATTTATTTTTACTGTGCTGTAAACCTTGAAATACAATGTTCAATATGACAGCCTAAACTGAAACAAAACTGCATATCACGGTACAAGCACTACATCATTTCTGTATTATACTGTACTGTGCTGTATAAGTTCATTTAAAGAAATCTGTAAAAAGGCCAAGGCATTGAAACCGAGACTAAATCATGTGAGGTGGCCAGATATAATTATGATTATTGAAACAATGAGTGATAAAATTGTTAACTTGTAGTTGAGTTCTGGGACATAACAGTGCAGTGGTATTGCGGCGGTATTTCATTATGCTGTAATAGCAAACTCTACTGCAATGATCAGTGTGTGGTCCGTTGATATGCAAAAACTGAAAATACAATCCGTATTAAGCTCATTATATCAATAAACAAATACAGTAAAGACGTCTTCAAATTTCAAGTGTCCTTAATGCGGGGTTCATTATGCATGGGAACTGTCATTCAGGTCCTAGAAATGTGTCCTTTGTACTTATTAACGGCTGTCCTTATAAAGCGGGATAATTTAACAGAAAATGTATGGAGCTTTCGTTGGGACTTTGAAACCTGTCCTTAATAACGAGGTGTCCTTATTAAGCGGGTGTCCTTAGAGCGGGGTTCCACTGTATTAAAAATTTATTATCAAAATTCAAATTCGCTTTTGGCTGTTACATGTATTAAAAATTTAATATATATATATACATATACAATTATAATAGATAAACTGAAATACATGTAGCAGTCATTAGCTGCCAGCTACTTGCAAACTGCTATGACACGATGTTTTCAAATTGACCTGGCGTCACATTGATGAGAGGTGAGTGCTCTTTCACCCACAAATATATTTTCCAGTTAATCTGATATAGGGTTATTATCAAAATTCAAATTTGCTTTTGGCTGTTTCATGTATTAAACACCAAAAAAAAAACTTCCTGATTCAACCGTTTTGAAAATATCAGGACGAATGGCATGTTGTGCAGCACTTGGGAATGGGCAGAAGGACTGAGATTCCTGAGAATGTGTGCTTTATAAGGTTTACTGTCATAACACTACCTTGTCATGACGCCCCCAGCCATGACGCCCCCACGTATACAGTGGGAAGCACGGGTGGCGTAGCGGTGTGAGCGCTCGCCTCTCATCAATGCGACCCGAGTTCGAGTCCTGCCGGGTTCGGTGTTGTATATGAGTAGAGTTGTTTGTTGGTTCTCTYCTGTGCTTCGAGGGTTTTCCGGGTTCTCCAGTTTTCCTCCCTCCGCAAAAATCAACTCCTAAATTCCAATTCGATCATGGAATGAGGGCCACAGGTTTGTTAGCCACTGGCTATTAAGTGCTACCCTCGTGAAAAAAGGACGATTTTTTTTTTATACAGTACCATTATTGCACACAGCACATGCATGTATTTCTATTGTTTGTCATTCCCCTTACATGAGTATGGAATCCTTTTTTCCTCCAGGTAAAACTGCAGCATTTATGTTACCTATATTGGAGCGACTGATCTATCGTCCACAGCAAACCCCTGTAACAAGGGTTCTTGTTATCACACCCACAAGAGAACTAGCAATACAGGTGTGTAAGCAATTTAGGAAAGAAATATTTTATTTGTGACATTGTGCCCAATGACCATTAATTTCATTAAACCTTAAATTAACCTCAAGGCTGATCTACATTAGCTAAGCCAGGGCATAGAAATTGAAATTTACTGTTTAATGTATTGTCAGGAAATGGAGAAAACTATCAGATCAAGGGAGATACCAATTAACTCTACTCACATGTAATGTCCATTACAGGAATCAAACTTGAGTTATTAGGGGTTTGACATAATTGGACAAGTGCTACACCATACAAAAAATATCGATTGGTATTACTGACACTAAAATTTTTTTGTTTAATTCCATTCAGCTTGCACATAATTATTTCCCACTTAAAACTATATGTCTTTTCATTACATTGTTGTCTGTCTGTACAGTGTGTGTCTGTCTGTCTATTTATCTGTCTGTTAATATTACTGTTTGACTTGATGAATTACTTTTTAAATTGTTCATTTAGTATATATCATTTCATTCCACAGATCCATTCTGTTTCATCCAAACTAGCCAAACATACAAACATCCACATCTGTCTAGCTGCAGGTAATGATCAACATTGTTATCTAATTAGTCATTTTCATTGAGGGACCTCCGATCCAGTGAGATTAATAATGTAATACAATACATGGTTCCAAAACCTCACAATAGACCCCTTTCAAATTCCAAATTACCGCTGTGTTTCGTGATTACAGACTCAAAACTTTTTGTATGTTGAAGTTGTGCATTCTTTACTTTTCTCTTGGTATTTGTGAATATTTAAAAACTGATACGAGGCTAACCCTGTGCAAATGAGTCTGTAATCAAGGAACACAGCGGTAATTTGGAATTCAAAACTGGTCTTCTATTCAATTTCAATTTATAATAAACTTCTGATGGAGGAAAACTATGTTTTTAGTCCCGATATGGTGAGTCATTGCCAATTCTCCCTAGCCAGAGACTATAGTAATGTTGCAGCACAATGTGCCAAAGTATGGCCATGTTTAATGTACTTACTTCTATGCACAGGCTTTTGTAGTATGATATAAACTGGGTGTCTGGTTTTACCAAATAACGATGTGTAAATGCCCGCTCCTTTGACAGCAAAAAGCCAGTGCACAGAAGTACAGTATGTGGATAAATTAAATATGGTCATACTTTTGGGCATTGCACTGTAATGTATAAGACACACTCTACTCTGTTGCTCCCTACCCCCCTTGAGTGAACTTGACATGATAAATGTACCAGTTATCTGCATAAAATCGTACAGATAATACATTTAAAAATCTTAAGCTCACACACTATCACGATTGGCTGGCAATTATTGCCAATCAGAGGCGAGATAGTGAGTAAAATATAACATAATAACACTATATGTTTATCAGTCTATTAATATGTATTTCTATCTGAAACATGCAGTCATTTTTAGTTTTATCCAATTTTTTTTAAACAGGTGGACTTGATTTGAAAAGCCAAGAGGCTGAGCTGCGCAACAGACCAGACATAATCATTGCAACCCCAGGCCGACTGGTAGACCATCTTCACAACACGCCAAGCTTTGACCTACAGGCCATTGAGATTCTTGTGCTGGACGAAGCGGACCGTATGTTAGATGAACACTTCAAAGACCAGATGGATGAGATTATTCGCCTGAGTAACAGGGGAAGACAAACTATGCTTTTCTCTGCTACAATGACAGAAGAGGTAAGCTATTTAATAAATGTATTCATTTTTATCTTGAAATGCATTTTTACTGTTAGATGTGTGATGATGGTGAAAGGATAACCGGTTTCTTATAGCCATAGGGTGCCACCCTCTTGTGTCCTTTGGTTTTTAATGTCTTTTTCTTCTTTGCTTTCTTAAAGGTGGAGGAGTTGGTTTCGCTCTCATTGAACCAACCAGTCAGACTGTTTGTTGACAGTAACACTGACGTTGCTTACAACCTTACTCAAGAGTTCATTAGGATCAGGCCCAACAGAGAAGAAGATCGGCTGGCCATTGTAACAGGTAAGGTTCCTACCACTAACAGATAAGAGTTCGTATGCAGTCAGTTGTTGACTGTAAAGTCTGGGCGTGCTCTAAGTCTGTATGCAAATTAGTCGACACATCTTTATGCTATTGTAAAAATATGTAAATTTGAATTCACAAAATGGACTTCACAAAATGCCTAAACTTATTGTCCATACTTAAAACTTTTCTTGTCAAAAAATAATATGTACTGTAGCTTGTAAAATGGAAACCTGAATTTTATACATCTGAGGGGAATTATTTTACAGCTGTTAAATATAGAGGCTTTGCACTTTTTGTGTGATTGCAGCCATGATTAATGATTTACGCAATAAATATTTCAGAAAAAAGAATGTTGTTTTTCCTGTTGTCATGGTTGCCATCACGTGATGGTGCAAGCCTCTATTGAGTACTATAAACATTTGTTTACAGCATTGTGTTGCAGAACATTCACTGACCATTGTCTAGTCTTCCTGCAAACAAAATGGATGGCTCACAAGCTGAGAATTATTCTGGGCTTAATGGGGCTTAATGTTGAGGAACTCCATGGCAACCTAACTCAACTCCAGGTAAGGACAAGTTCCTTGTTTGACATTGAACACCAAACATTTCACACACTTTAAATATTTACATTTTATCAGATTAGTTAGTCTTGGGTCAGTTCACAAAAGCTGACTGCACCTATTATTGGGAATCTTCACGCACTAGTACTGCAAACCCAATTCTTTCATATACTGCATCCCTTTTAATGTTTATTCTATGCAAGGCTACATGTAACAAGGCAATACGAAAGAAATCACATTATTTTTCCATAGATCGAAATACTTCAATCCTTTTTAATTTTATATTAGCGTCACAATTTTTCAATGGGTCATACATGTATATTTAGCAAGCCTATAATGAAGGTGTATTTTTGATACAAACTAGAGACTGGAGGCTCTGCGCAAGTTCAAGGAAGGCAAGGTGGATTTCCTTATAGCGACTGATCTTGCTGCTAGAGGACTTGATATTACTGGAGTAAAAACGGTAAGAAAAAAAATTTATTCTACAGTATTTGGGTGTACAGTATATGCATCCAAAGTACAATCTTTGGGGATGGCATTTGTAGAGATTTTAGTTAGCCAGTGAAACAAAGTTGTATAAGCGAAGATATATTGTATAAGCGATGTAAGTGAATAGATCTGGTTGTGAACTAATCGAAATCTAACAAAACTTGGCAAGTCATGAAGCTAGGGGACTTCACTTGAAATGAAAACCAGCAAAGAGGGATATAGTGATTGGAAAAATTTCGCAAACATACAGTTATGATCATTAGATACCATAAATTCGTATATTATGCTCATTTATTATGTATAGTTAGGATAGCGCGCACGCTGATTGGTCGAAAACAGTGTTTTATTAGTGAACGGAGCACACATGCTCACGCCATCCCCGCGTGCAAAATTCTGCTAGATCCTGCGACCAACTTTTTTTGCGTAAATAAATTCAATACCGAAAAAAATTAGTAACTATATAATAAAGCGCATAAAACAGCTTTTTCCCTGTGCCTTTCAGCAATAAAGCACTTAAAAAGCGTCGTAAGCTGCTCATGAAGGGACATAAGCACTAGCCTACAGCTCGTCCTTCTCCTTATACTTGTTTCGTGTTTACGCCACTTCCTGCGTGTTTTATTACTGAACGAAGTCAGTCACCGAACGGCAATATGTGGATTTAGATAACATAACAGATTATAGTACAATTATAACACTAGATTCCTTGTTTTCCTAGGTTATCAATTATACTATGCCTACCAATGTTAAACAATATGTCCATCGTGTTGGTAGGACAGCTAGAGCAGGCAAGAGTGGAAGGTAATGAACATTACTCACATAATATGCGGGGTTTCTTACTCTTACGACAACAACAGCAACAACAGAAAAAGCAAAGAAGACAACATCAGCAACGTTATTTTAATGAAGCTTAATTTTGGTAAATGTTTTCTTATAGGTCTGTTTCTCTTGTTGGAGAAAAAGAAAGAAAATCTCTGAAGGAAGTGGTGAAAAACTCGAGGACACAAGTTAAAAGTCGAATTGTTCCCCCAGAGATAATAGAAAAATATGCCTCAAAAGTGGAAGCGCTGGAAGCTGACATTAAAGATATTTTAAAGCAGGAAGAAGAAGAAAAGGAGGTGATTATTATACATGAAATGCAAGAAAGATAAAGATCAACTCGTGGTGGTTTTGAACTGATTCGTTATCAGTAATTCAAGATACCATTCTTTTAGACACCATTGAAGGAAGGAAGGGTGACGTAGTGATAGTACACTCACATCTCTTCTCTGGGGTCTCGGGCTCTTCATTACATGAGAGAAGAGTTCGTGAGGTCTCTCCCTTGATTCAAGGGATTTTCTAAGGGTTCTCCAGTTTTCCACACCCTGCAAAACCTAGCCATCTAAATTCTAATTTGATGATATGTAAGCTTTTCGTGCCCTGGCTGATCATCCCAGAGGCTGTTTCGTGTTATTTTTTCCATTTATTATCATGATTCTCACTTCATGTTTTTTCAACGGGTCGACAATGGACTACAGGTACCTCCACGATGCGGCGGCCATCTTGAATCACAAGGCATTATTGGTCGTCCTGGGGGTCAAACATGCATAGCTTTGTTACAAAAATGGATTAGAGTTGACATTTACGGTTCACAGCAAGACAATTTGACAAGAGACGAATTAAAACAAGTGAACAGTTCCACAACTTAGGAAACATCTCAAATATCGAGGGGTCGTCATTCCAGCATTTTTTGTTTTATTTTGACCCCCTCAACGACCCATAATGCCTTATGCTACAAGATGGCCGACGCATCGTCGAAGTAGTCCAATCCTCCTCTCGCTCCAAATTTAGTGTTCACACATTCTAGTTAGATGAGCTTTTATATAGGAAAATAAGGTCCTCCTTTGATGTTGTTACGTTTCCATCTTGTTGTTTAGATGCGTGTGTCAGAGATGGAGATGAACAAAGCCAGGAACCTGCTGGACCACGAGAAAGAAATATTTGCACGACCAGCGAGAGTATGGTTCCAGGATGGTTCAGGAAAACGAAAAGGTACAATCTTGTACACCAAATTGAAATATGGCGACCAATTTGAATAACTATTGTTCTGCACTGACTAGCGACTGACTATCCTCGTGTTCACGTGGAAACATAAATCCTTTTCAGATGTATGAGAGGCTAGTCAGAGCATGATTATAGTTATTCAAATTTTTCGCCATATTTCGATTCGATTGCTGGTTTTCAATCATTCCCAAAAGAATTCGAATGAATAACAAAAACATGGCGGCCATGTTGGATGATATAACAAAAGAGACTATTGACGAATCTTTTGTTAAAGGCATCCAACATGACGGCTGTGAAGACCATCAGTACAGTTCACTTTTATTACTTTGTGCAGCTTATTGTGCGCAGTGGTTAAAGCATTTGTTATTTCTCCCCTTGAAACTCGTGTTTGTAACAAAGCTATAGTAGAAAGCTAGAAAAAAGAGTACGTCCATCCAACCCTACTCGCCCTCCCGCTTTCCATTCATCCCTCTTTCCTTCCTTCCTTCCTTCCATCCATTCATTTTTATTCATTCATTTATATTTTTAGATATATAATCATACAGCTTCTCATTAATCCCATATAGGTAACTGTCCAATTATTTTCTTAATTGGACAGGTCTTGTTGATATGGGATTACTTAGGCATCTATATAATTAATAGGTAATGGGATTTCATGCTCCCCAATCAAGAAATAATTAGCCAAGAAAAATTCCTCTGACTGCCAAATTGGACTCGGCCTACGCCCTCATCCAATTTTGTCAGTCCTCTGAATTTTCCTCATCCAATTATTTCTTAATTGGACAGCATGGAGTCCTATTACATATACTAATGAGTCTGCTCTCAGACCATTCATTTATATTCTTTTTTCCAGAATCTAAGGCGAACTTTGACATTCTCCCAATGCTCTAATCATATATAGTAAGTTCAACTGATTATTTGTTATTCATTTTTAGATAAAAATGACGATAAGAATCAACCAAAGAAAAGACTGAAAAAAGAAACCAGAGAAGTCGTTAAAAAGACGGTGAGTACTGAAGCAAAAGATTACTTGTATCTCTCAATTTGTGTCGATTGCGATGGATGATACCCTGCGAGCAAGAGAAGTTAAAAGGAGACTCTGCTCGCAGGGTAGATGGATAATTGTAGCTTTCACTGAATATTTCCCCGCTTCTGAGCTACGAAAGCATAGGATATTGTTAGCTCATTTCTTAATCATCTTTTGGATGGAAGAAAATAGTTATACAATGCTTGCTCGTGACATAACATATTTTCGCTTAGTATTCCGTATTTTTTTATTTTGTTTTTATTTATTTATTTATTTTTTACGTATTTTAAGCTTAGAGGACTTTTATTCCGTAGGAAGAAGAAAAATCAAGACACAAAGAAATGGAATTCATTAAAAGAGAAGCAAAGCGAGCCCGAAAAAAGAAAAAGCTTTACGCCTTTCCTCCTGATGACCCTCAAGGTTTGTCCAGAATGTTATTAGCGGGTTACCTGTGGTAAACCGCTCATAAAATACCTTCTTTTTTATATCACTGAAACCGAACTAAACCAAGATTGTAAAACACTTTGAATCATTATGATCACCTATGGTTTTCTCAACTAAAAGCGCATGCACGTCTTACGTAAGCGCGGGAAATGCTCAAGGTGGAAGAAGAATAGTTAAGATAAATAGAATCCTTCTCGAGTAATAACCCAACCCGTTAAAGAATAAAAACGAACATTTTAAATATTCAAATATCACACAAAAACACTTTATTTATCCTTCTTTGTCCGAATTGTACCCTACCTTAAATCAACTCATTAGAAACGTTTTTTAAGGCCTACGATCACCTAGCGATTGATTCGTTAACCGAAATCGCGCTCGCGTCTTCGTTAAGCGCCGGAAAATCCTCTATGCTGATTGGGCAAGGTAAAATAAAATTTTCATTTGCACAGTTGCATTGTTGTTTTTCCCCACAACTTGAATTATTGGTATACGTCGGTATCAGTTTAATAATGTCATCAGGCAGTATTCAAAAGACTGAGTCTAATTACTGATAAATGAAAGGGCGCTAGGGCAAAAATTGGTGGTTTTTTAGCCGTTAGACTCCGTTATATTGGTGTTTTTAGCCGCTAGAAACTGCTTAAACTGTTACTAATCTGTTCTGTTATGTGCTGGCTTGATTTGTTCAGTTTTTCCGTCTATATACGCCAAAAATATTGCTGTGACCAACGGTTCAATCGTACGTAACGAACTCAGTACTGTATCCTATACCTGCCTCGTGACCGCTTACGTAAGCGTACGCGTCGGTTAATAAGTTAATAAGTTAATCCAAATCCCCTAGAATAACCAAAAATGAACATGTTCATAAGTTAATCCAAATCCCCTAGAATAACCAAAAATTAACATGTTTTTTGCCCTAGCGCCCTTGGTCAAAACAATCATATTGGGATATGTTGTGTGTTTTCAGGTCAATCTAAAAATCCAGGAGTAAAAACTAAAAACAAGAAAACCAAGTCATTTGATCAAGAACTGACAGATACCAGCAAAAAAGCCCTCAGGCGGTTTAGGACGAGGTGAGTTGAGATGTACACCCTTAAAATAGCTGTAGCTTCTTTGTGAACTTGTTTTCATGAAAACTATATTTCGGGTATATTATGTATTCATTATTCGCTGTCTCGTTTCTTATTGGTTTAGTACGTTGAAAACAAAATTCACATTATCTGCAGAATCATGTTAGGATAATAGACCATTTTCAAGTTCCAAATTACCGCTGTGTTCCTTGATTACAGACTCATTTACACAGGATTAGCCTCGAATCAGTGTTTAAATATTCACAAATACCAACGGTAAAGTAAAGAATGCACAACTTCAACAATACAAACACTTTGAAACTTGGCGGACCTTGACTGGAACACGTGAATATTCTTTACTAAATCGAGGCTGAGCCCGAGTAAATGAGTCTGTAATCAAGAAACACAGCGGTAATTTGGAATTCGAAAAGGGCCTTTCCACGGAGGGCTGTGGGGGATAAGGGGGGGGGGGCTCTCAAATATATGTTACTTTTACATTCAAAATCTACTTAGCTTCCCATAAATTGTTAACAGTCCTCAAGGTTTCCACATCTTATTCCAGTCATATCCAATACAAATTGTTTTATGAGTTATTGTTCATTATTTGTGTTTTAGCGATGCTACCGCTCCACAACCAAAGAAAAGTGTTAAAAGTTCCAAAGTTAACAACTCACAAGAAAATAGAAACCCTAAAGGAAAACCAGGGAAATTTAAGTCTAAAAAAAGGTAAGAAATGATTGGGTTAGTTGTCATAGTTGTTTTGGAATCACTTAAGTGCTGGATACACTGGTGGTTAAAAAAGGTGGGGGAGGCTGTTTTCGAAGGTCTATGAACTCTCAATGTCTCAGCTCAGGCCCAACATTGAACTTAACATGAGGCAAACCTAATTGAAACAATTGATAACAAGGTGGTATTGTTTGATGTCATTAGGTTCGGTTCATGTGAAGTTCGACGTTTCACCTTGGTCCAACTTTCATTTCTTAGTTGGTATTCTTTTCTTATGTGACTATGATTTTAATAGAAAAATCTTTGATTTAGGTTTAAAAGAAGATGATGTGACGATCAGGGGGAAAAGTCTACAGGGTAAAATATAGGAATCTACAGAGTAAAATATATTAGACCTACTTCTTGTTCTCAGTTTGCAGCCATGGATGGACAGACCCCCGTGGACTCGCACTATTGTATGAAATGTCTATAAATTTACATACTTATTTCAATAAAAAGTATCTCCCATAATTCCGGTCTTCTTCTTGTATTGTAACAGACTTATGCATGCATTTTTATATTGTCAAAGTAAATCCTGAAACATCTTGAAGCATTTCTATTTTTTTATTTTTTTCGTATTCTTTTTTTTATTTTTTATTTATTTATTTATTTTTTTTATTTTTATTTTTTGGCGTGCAACCACGTGACCGAAAAATCTATTTAGATATCAATAACGATGAAACAGCCGCCATGTTGGTTGATCTAACAAGGTAAGCTTAATGCGTATAGTCAATCAACATGGAGGCTATGAGATAACATGCACCCTTAAAATAAAGATCCTATAAGAAAAGAAAGCGGAAAACATTCAAATGTTGGCCCAACGTGAATCCAAGCTCGAGGAAAATCCCTTGGTATCACATTCAGCCAATGAGAATGCAGCATGTAACATGACCCGTTCACGCTTCTCAACGGCCGTTTGCATCGATCACACGCTGTATGAGAAATCAAATATTCGACTTCAAGCAAGAATTTCTCTGGATATTTTTGGCGTAATGGCATTCTGAATAGATGTAACGATAGATTATAATTCCTTTGATATGTTGAATTGTTATTGCGGGCCAAGGGGAAGGATTGAGATTTTTTTGGGAGCCTACCGTGATGTGTTCGATATCGGGTGGCCAGCCTTCCCATTATTTAGAGAGAAAAGTGCGTAATTTTAAAAAAAGCACTAAACGGCCCCAAATCGCGCTGAAACCTCGCCAGAACACTTAACAAGCAACTACTACAGCAGGATTTGAAGCAAATTGTTGGGTGAAACATTTTATATTGTTGTATCTTCATCATAACTCCCACACAGGAACCTTGTTTTGGGCTGCCTGTGGATAGACTACCACAGGAAACCCATACAACATAAGATGCGTACTTCCCCTGTTAAAAAAGGGAGAAAAAGCTATATTATAAATAGTCAATATAAACTGATCTTCCGAAAAAATTGACGAAAGTAGTTTTTTTTAATTTTCATTTTATTTCAATAGAATTCTTAAAGGAAAAAATMATGACAATTGTCACGCTCCAACCATATATGGAAGCAACTCATTTACATATTTTTTCAAACCTGCAGTATTTATAGTGACACGCTTGGTGGAGTTTGGTGGATATAAGCTACAAAAAGGAGAGTTGTGAAAAATACTTTCTTTCAAAGCTAATTTGCTGTAGTTGGCTTGAAAAAAAATCAAAATAGAGGTAAACAAGAAATACATTTTTCAAACTAAAGTTTAATGCAACTATTATGAGTCGTTGCACAAGCCGTCAGGGATCAGACCTTTTGCTTTAGATATCTTTTTAATAGTTTTGAAATACCTCCTGTAGTTTGAAGAACTTCACAGCTATCTCGGTGAATGCATGGTGAACAAATTGGAGATTTCAATTTCTAAAGATTGGACACACTACAGGTTAGTATTTGACAAAGCAGTCGAGAAAAATAGCTGAATCCGATCGACTTTTTACACGAGCAAATACAGTCGGTGCAAAGGCGGGAAAAATCGTGGCTTAACCATGTCAAATATATTAAAAATGCCACTTTGAACTGCATATTTTTCCATTTTGCCTTTATAGGTCGATAAACTCTGCTCTCAAAAGTAAATAAATGTTAAATAAAGTCTATATTTATTGGATTTTATTAACGGTTCTTACTTTTATCTAAGTTGGACTCCCTGTGGTATCAGCGGTTCAGCAAACAAATCAACGAGGGCTCATGAGCGCGAGCTCGGCTAATTATACGTCACGACTGACGTCATTAATTCTAATGATAGAATAAAATGACGTTGCAGCGCTAAATTGATTCATTTGAACAATCGACATGGAGCCGGAAAACGAAGAGCAGTATTGTAAGTCTTTTTTAACAAGTTCGCCGAGTTGCATCTGACGTCAAAGTTTAGTAATGCATCATTTGAACTGCCTCTGTCAGATTTTTGAATGCTTTTTTATTATAATTTCAGATTTGAGCAAAAAACGATTGATCAGTAAAGTTAAGGTAAGGTGTGAGTTTAAACGATGAATGATATTGAGGTGGCACAAAAAGACGGACATGCACGAATAAGGACACTTGTAAACAGATAGGATGGTCAAACATCTATTGAAAAAAGTAGTTATGGACAAACATGCACCGATGGTAGACGAAGAAAAAAAATTAAAAAATTAATAAGAATTAAGATGACAGAGAGACACTGATAAAACAAGAAAGAGAGAGAGAGAAAGGGAAAAAGACGATCAGTTTATACGAAGGCGTATTGTAAAAAAAAAAAGAACGACAAAAGAACCAATCTACCAATCGAGAAAGAGAATCAATTYACTTCTTGATTGAGATAAACAAACACAACAATTGTTCGTATAGAATAAAGTTCATCACGATATCGTGGTAATATTAAACTGTTTTCTTATAGACATTAAAGAACGCTGTCAAAGAAGGCTTGACAGAATTAAAACTTAAAAAGGTATGTCAAACCATTTCTACTAGTGTCTGTTAGTTGGCTATTTAACTTTTTAGATATAGTAGTATGTTTTTAAACTTAATTGATTCATTTATATATTATTTACATTAATTTAATTTATATATATATATATATATAT